AGTCCCCCGACCCTCCAAGCATCGTCACGGAGCTTGTTGTCTGCGCTGTGAGGCTGTAGGCTCCAGAGTACGTTTGTAAATCATCCAAACCTCGAAGATCTTACTTCCTTAAGACCGACCCTAAAGCCCTAAAGCCCAACCTCCCAAGTTTCCAAGAGCTTGAGATCTACGTTCCTAGCTTCCTATAACTCTGATTCACACACCGAATCAGAAGAAGGAGAGTAGCGAGGGAGTGGGGTGTAGGGTATAGGGGGAAAATATCATGCTTGCGATAGCTCTGTTTGCACGATGCATGCTCCGACAGACTAGGTAAGGCCATAAACCTTACACTCACTGAAACCCGGCTCCTGCTTTGCTAAACGAGGAGCGACCCTGACAGCTTACGTAGTTCACCTACCCAAAGGGTCCCAGTTATAGTATGGTATATACCTTGGGGGCCCAAATACCTACAAAGTAGCTACCATATTACTACTTGGACCCTGTGGGCTAGGTTTCTTTAGCCGGGATCCAAGACCCGGCCCGGGTGTGTCATTGCAGCTCGCCATGTGGTGCTGCTGCGAGACGGTCGAGGATGCGACTCGGACGCATCGATGCGCTTGGCTCTCCTAAACCTACCCTGAACCCTAAACCCTAAACCCTGAACCTTGAGCCTTAAGACCTAAACCCTAAACCGTGAACCCTGAGCCTTCAGACCTAAACCCGAAAGCTTCTCTTGTGGCCTGGCGTAAGCCTGTGCTCCGAGATCCTCCAGGTGTTCTAGACTGAGGTGCATCGCAGGTGTCTGTGGTTGAGGAAGTCTTGTGGCTACCGGTCGCTTTCCACAGCTTCCCGCATAGTAGTCCTTGCAGTAGCCTCTTCAGTAAACTTATCAAATTCCTTAAGAACCCAAAACCCACTTTTTTGTAGGTTCTTATCATAAACCCTAATATGGGATCTATAGGGACCCTACAAAAAAGTAGGTTTGGGGTTCTTAAGGTAAACCTCTAAACCCCTAGACCGTTTGTCGCCGAAGAGAAGGCTTTACTGGCGAGGCTTCAGATTCGACGACTGGCAGGCTCTTAGTCGACGCTCAAAACCCTCAATGCCAAATCCAAACCCTGAACTCTTAAACCCTAAATCCTGAGCCCTTAAACCCGAAAGCTTGAGCCCTTAAACCCTAAACTCTTGAGCCCTTAAACCCTAAACTCTTGAGCTGTTAAACCCTAAACCCTAAAGCCTGGGCCCACAAAACCCGTTAACGCTTGAAGCCTCACGCGCGGGTTTCGATCGACCTTGGGCCCCAAAGGCTCGACGCTTTGGGGTTTAGGGTTTAAGGTTTAGGGTTTAGGGTTTAAGGTTTAGGGTTTAGGCTTTGAGGTTTAGCCTCTTTTGCTCCAGCTCTTGCTCATACTCCCGCTCTTGCTTTTGAGCTTTCCTCTTGCTGATGCTCCCGCTTTTGCTCTTGCTCCTGCACTTGCTCTAACTCCTGCTCCTGCCCTTGCTTTCGCTCTTGCTCTTAGTGTGCTCTAAGGAAATTTGGAGCCTCGCAACCCTCCCCCCTAATTAGTTAGCAGATACCATTTCCGTTTTCTCACCCTGCCATGAAGCCCCTACTATGGAACCACGCATAACCCAATAGCAAATAGCACACTCAAGCCTATAGCATGCCCCACCCGATAGGAAACCCATAACACCCAACCCGAAGCCCCCTTGCCCGAGAAAATGGAAATGGTCTTCTTGAATAAAATATCTACAATAGGGTTGCAGCGATAATGATGCCACAAATTTAAGAGTACTACCTGTCTCACACAAGTGGTGAAGCTTCAGCATGTTTGTTGGCGCTGCTGTGCAGCGGTCTGTGTTTGCCTTGCCTTCGCTCATAGCAAATAGCACCAACTACTTGTCCACATGGTCGTCCTTCCGCATCAAGAGCGCCCCATTTCTGGCATGCATCTCTCAATCGTTATGAAAGCTGTCCTGGTGCTTACCACATTCTCCTGGACATCCACGACGGCAGGGCGTTTTTTTCTGCCAGTCCGCGCTGGGTACAAGCACAGTCCCGTGCTGTGTCAGTCGCGTTTCGCTCTGCCACAGCTTCAAGGTGTGGGATGCTTGTCCAGAAACATGCGGAGATGGCCTCAGACTGCCACATACCCACCACCCTACGGGAAGTTTCCAGATTCCTGCAACCGTTATCGCAATTATGTCACGAGGAAAGGTGGTTCGATAGCCGGCAATGCATGCACCGTACATGGGCAGTGTCACTTGCCGGCAGGTTTGCGAGAAGGTTGGGCAGTCACAGCTGACTTTGATCATACTTGTGCAGTGCGGGCAGATGGTCGGCTCATCTGTTTTGGATCGAACGATTATGGGAAGTGTGATGTGCCAGCAGATTTGGG